GGGAATTGGCGACATTTAACTGATAACACCAAAAATGATACATTGATTATGATGTGATATTTACCTTTGATTACGTCTAGAGTAGATGGATTGGCGCTATTTAAAACTGCTATGATTACCTGATAGCATTTAATTGTAAGATTGATTACCGACCTATTTGCATTTGCCACTTACTTTGTACGCAGAAACAAAATAAATGGCGTATTTTCCACTCTCGCGACTATAGACCGCGGTGAAGGTCAATCTTCAATTATTTTTTTCTCTACCCTACCCAAGAGAGACCAGTAATACTAGACATCGATATAATACCCCGCGTTAAGGTATAAGGACCACTAATTTTAATTGCAGCACCCCCACCCCCCGTCCCCCAGGCGAGATGCAGGAACCCCCTCAGAATGTGCCCCTCTTTTTTGTTTTCATCCAATTAGCTCGGTAAGCAATGCAAACACCGCTGTGTACATATGAAAACAAGGAAGGAAATAATCCATCTTGCGGGGAAATACGTGCCGGCAATCCTTGTTATTTGTTTCTTTATGCCTATTTTGTGTTTGGATTTAACATAATGCGACCATTTTATTACTTTAAGCGAGTCTCAGTATTTGTTTTCTCTAAACGCGGTTCTTCACGTTCACGCTGATGTTGCCGTGGTTTAATCTAATTGTGGGTTTTTAAATAATTAAGAATTTGAGCTGCTGAGTATTTTTAAACCGCCAACGCTTCTCAGTTGAGGGTAGTTTATCATTCGGAATGCTGCACTGTTAATCTCTTTATTTTTTGATAACTGCTAAAGAATTGTTTCGTCATTGATTAATTTTTAGCGCATTTCATTATTTTACGTAAATTTAATAGACATTATATAATTCAAGAACGATTCTATATAAAACTAGAAAGATAGAAAGAAATTAAAATAATCGATAACAACACAAATTTATCTCTGCTAGTAGTAAAAAGTAGACTTTCTCTACCCGTGACACGCTTCTCTTTAATCTGAGACGTCTATGTGCATTTATATTAAGCAACTTTTAACGCTTAGTCAATTATGAACTCCATTGGTCTACCAATACGAACGTATAAGAACTATGTGTATTAATGATAAATGGACGATAATATCGGTACGACTCAGTTATATACCAGACAGTGTAGATCCACTGCTGTCAGTCGATCAAGACGGAATCACTTAATTAGGGTTACCCCCCTCGCAGCAAACTCCCCCCCTCCCGACCGCAATTGGGGAATCAAAAAGTAGGGAGATCGCTCAAACAAACATCAAGGGATTGCAATTGTTTTGCCACTTTATTACTCCAAGTGTTGTACTGTACCAGTAATCTCGTTTTGTTGCTTTAAATATTCTTTCTTTTATCATCCCTGCTACGTGATTTTCCTTTGTATTACAACAATCTCTTAAATAATAAAATCCGTTGAAGAGAATAGGGATTCGAGTGAATGATTTTAAATGTTAATAAATGCATGTATTAGTTCATGTCATATTTTACGTTGTGTTAGAAATCGATGTTAAAACTTTATTTTGGAGATTGTAAGCTGAAAGGAGAATAGTTTTTTTTAGGAATCATAGGTTCGGTTTTTTTTCTTCAAATCTCAGCCTGCTTTATGTTTTCCATATTTCCAAACCCTCATTGTAAACACGCGAGTTGGAACCTAAAATACGTTTAGTCTTTAGATAGAGGACACGATCTTTAGAAAAATATTTTATGCTCAGCTCTTAAATTAAACGAGTTCCGTCGATTCGGAATTCTACAAGCCTACTTATTTTTTTACGGATAGGCTTATGAAAATAGATTCTGTTAAAAGTTTTATATTGTGAATTCAAAATACAATATCTTATGATGTAAAAAGAAAAAAAGTAATGGACGAGCCTTTGCATTGATAACGGAGGCCGCTTAATGTGCCAGTTGAGATATAAATAGTTTTGTACATAGGCTAACACTGCCACAGTGATAAGATCGCCGTGGACCAATGGTCATGGGAACTGTAATTACCTATATTACCCTCGTCTGGGGTAATGGGGAGCAAATCCGGACAATATGTAATTAAGGTAAAAGGACAAAAAGCAGTTCGATCTAGCAAAGAGAATTATAACACAGAACGGTATCAAATAATTTTGACAAGAGTGTCGTCCATGGTTTTTGTGCTGTAACTCCTGCTAATGTGATGGGTTATTATTAATGCAAGCGGTAATTGTCCTAATTGCATGTATGGAGTGCGGTACGATGATTAACCCGTTACTGTTGTTTTTAATGGAATTGACGTGAACGCTATAAACGGATTATAGGATACCGAATGGTTGCACTTTGTGAGTTAAGCGCCAATCACTTTAAAACTAATACCCGGTGCGCGCACGCACGCGCACACACGCACACACACACACACACACACGTACGTACAGCGCGGCTTTGCTTATCGTGTGATAAACCTGTCATTATCTCAGCCGACTGCGATTGTTAACAACTTAAACGACATCAATTAATCCTCTCTGTTATATATTTTTTGGCGTTAATGTGTTTAATGTTGGCTACCATGCTCTTAACGTAATATATTCTGTTATGTTTGATGATAAATAGTTTGTGACAGTAATGTTTTTAAATTTAAATTGAAAATTACTAACTGAATACTTAAATATTGAGTTGGCCTATACTAGAAGAATATTTTTGTCCATGTCCAATACTTTGCTTCCTCCTATCTAATAGCATTACATTAAAGCTTAATCTTCAACTTTACTCATTAACCTTAATCATTACTTTACACAACTACTATTGCTTTTGTATGTTTAACCAAACATTTATTTATAGCCTATTCTCCAATACAAACATAGAGCAAGTCACTGATAGCGACTGAACCTATGCACATGTAGGCCTATTGGGTAAATGTTATACAGTATATTGATTGAACATTGTCGTTATTCCCAACTATGCTTTGTCATTATTCCCAAATTTACATGTATAGTTTTGATCTTATTTTGTGCAATAGATTAAGTAAGATGTTTTGTTTCACTGGAAGTGTATGTTGTGCGTTCTACACATTTTTGGAAATAACATTTATTTTGATTTTATTCTAATTGTTAACTTGTGTTTTTTTCTGTCAAAATTTGTACTACACCACTATTGGGTTGTGATCACAGACTATAGAACCAATTAATGTTCCATTGTCTGTGGTTGTGATTCAAATTGTATTTTCTTTGTGACTTACAAATTGCACTCTAGGATATTTAGATCACTAAACATATTGTACATACACCTTGATTACATGCATTGGTTGATGCTTAATGCTGGTATGAAATCTATATAAAAAATAATTTTTTTAAAACAATAGATATTTTGAGTAAACAAAAAACCTTGTCCATTATAAATACCGTTGTTGAATGTGTGGTTGAAAAAAATAAAGTTGACCAATCAATAACCCCCCTGTCTTTAAATTAAACATGTCATAGTGTTAGGGAACTTTTACCATTTTGGTTTTGATACCGTTTTGGCCCTGGGACCATTATGGTACGATACATTTTTTATGTTCCTCCAAAAAGTGTTGTCACAATAATATATTTTAAAATCCTATTTTATGTAAATAGATGTCCATATGCATGCCGAATGTATACAATAGGAGTTATAAACAGCTGCTAACATTTGCCATTCGGTCTTGTATTTCAGGGTGCATATTCAATTACTTAACTAAATTTTGAGTGGGCTATAGGGTTGTGTAACATAAAATTGTGGGGTTGGAAATGCAGATATTTAAAACTGTGTGTTTCAGTCTTGGTAACTCTTATTAAAAGATCTATTCCGATAGAAATTTGTACTGATAATTAACATAGAATTAATTGAAAAAAGATGGAAAACTTAGATAAATTCAATGGTCTTTGAAGGGTTTATATATAAGGTTTTCAATCGGAAGTGGCTTAGTTCTTTTTATTCAACTTTTCCCTGGCCCAATTTTTCCATTGTCCTGTCCATTTGGTTACTGGAAATTCATGGGCGTAACATTTTTTTGAGTCTGCATTTTCATAGAATAATCAAAAACTCTTTTATAAGAAAGCAATCCCAACCCATTAAATATTTTATCAACATACCATAAATCAAATTTCTCTCTCTCTCTCTCTCTCCCTCTCTCTCTCTCTCTCTCTCTCTCACACTGAGTTCTGAGCCGTTAAATGTGAAATATAGCAACTATAGTTCTATGATAGCAACACACCCAAATCTAGGACATGGTCATTTGCATACCAAGGATCACAGATCTCACACCTTAGCTGCTGTTTTCAGTATGTGACTTTTTGTTAAGGGTTCAAGAATTTAGCTTCTACTCTTATCATTGTAATCACCAATTATTGCAGTTTTGTCATTTCTCACTTCAATCAATGTACTATTAGTATTAACCCTTAAAAACGTGATAATTTTGTCATCATTTTCCAAGTATGGTGGCAACCCTGGTGAGCATAACAGTAGCTGCCTAAAATAGCATATGCTATCATCTGGCCGCAGGGTTGTTAGTCTTGACCAAGTCATTGACCTGTTATCATCACCCTGGTCTGGCATACCCCCAAGTGCATGCTTGTGTTACCAGTACCCCAGTACGGTGTTCATTGGGGGATCCCCTCGTGGGCGTTGTAGTGTCTCAGTTTTATTATCATATTTAGTATCGATAACTTTATGACTTTTATATATAACTTTGATGGTACAGTATTGAAAGTTTGCCAAAAAACTTATCTGGAAAGCTATCTGGAATAGCTAAATATCAAAAACTTTTTTATACCCATTTTTACTAGACCCCATGCGCGCGCTCCAGCTTAAAAAAAAACGCTTAAGGGTTAAGTCCGTCTACTTTTTCGAGCTGTGATAATAGTTAAAAATAGTTTTCCTGTTTGTCAATCTATTCTTGTAAAATGGTGTATTCAAATAAATAGTAAATAAGTAGATAGATGGATAAATAAATAGATAAATCTTTTATATACGGTAATTATTGAAGTTTATTTCATTTAGTACTTCTGGTTGCAGACGCAGAGAAGGGCCCCCAGCTTTGTGTGGTGTGTAAGACTGAGTCAGAGATGACGAGAGCTTTGCCCCGCTCCCATGCCTCTCAGTATGGACTGCGCGAAGAAGACATCGCTCCTGGAGCTCGGGTTTGCAATACTTGCCGTTGTAAAGCTGTTCGATCCCGTTACACACACTGTCCACTGCCGACCTGTCCCAACGCCAAGGGGCACCGAGTCAAGAGACTGCGGCCTTTGCCGATGAAATGGCCTGAACTACCTCGTCACATTCGGGACCCGATCGCAGCTGAGTTCCGTAAGTAATGGTTGAACTGTTCAATGTACTCCGTGTGAATTGTTCCTTGTTTCCAATTTCAATTTACCATACTCAATCCTATCTAGGAGACCAAAATATGTCTTTGGACAACAAATCTTTATACTGGTCGAACTACACAACATACTCGGGTGTGTTTGGTTTCGACTTGTGGGATAGAACTAGTCTCACTATAACTAAGTGGTTATAGAGTTTATCAGAAAATAACCAAATTTATTCTTAGAATAGTTGTTTTCAGTAGCTTTTTATAATTAAAATCTATGCACAGATGTCCTTGATCATTGTAATAAAAAACAAAAAACAGCTGGTCTCACTAAGTAACAAAGCTAAGTAACACCTCATCCATTTCTCTTCATTCATATTTGGGTTAAAATGCAACCTTAGTTGCGTATCTTTCTTTGATGGTGATTGTTTGAAGATAAACAATGTACTGAAAAGGTGTAATCCGGTTCTTTTTTGGACAGGAACCTTTTTATTCACTTTATATGATACAAAGGGATTTTGATATAGCCTAATTGTGCTGTAGGCATACTAGATAATTCATGGAAATTAGACCTTTTAAACCCATCAAATTCTTGTTGGTATCCAAGAAATTGCAAATGAATGAATGAATGAATGAATTATGAATGAATGAATTATATCTTTATTCCAACAAATTATTTACAGAAATTTGTAAACAAATCCTATTTAAAGGAGAAAAACATAAGTGAATTTAAAAGAATAACATAAAACTAACCTTTGCATTAGTATTTTTTGAATTAACACTCCAAAATTCCCTCTTAATTCATGTGAATCCAAAAAAAATAACTATGGTCTATGCTAACAATGTAAAATTTAATCCCTGAGAAAATTGTAACTCTGTGTCAATTTTGTTTAAAACTTAAACTTTGTATTGTGTTACATGTTATTACAGTACAGTACATTTTTATATTTTGCAGAAATTCCTCCAAATGTGAGCAAGTGCTGTTCAGCTTGCTTTAATCGTATTTCTCGCAAGTTGACGCCAGTTGATGAGAGTGGGGCCGGAGGGGGAGGTTCTAGTGGTAGCAGCCCTGGACCTCTCCAACGTTGGTCCGAGGAGGAGATAGAAGCACTCAAGAAAGGGCTAAGAGAACACGGCAATCGATGGTCTGAGGTATCCCAGGTGGTGGGTCCTTCCAAGTCCCATCATCAATGTAAAAACTTCTTCTTCAACTACAAAAAGAAGTTCGGCCTCGACCAAATCCTACAAGAGTATAACAAAGTACATAAATGAATTTTAAATACTTATACAACTTTTTACTTTTATATATAAGTTTTGATTGTTAAAGTTTTGAATAGGATCTAGGTATTAATTTTAGACAAATCTTTTGCTGTTAACATGTTAGTTGTTAATGTACAGTTCTTATTTGTTAAATTTTCAGGTCAGTAACAAAAAAAATAAGAAATATTAACTATAATTTAGATTATGTTTATCGTTGTCATTGCATTATCATATATAGGATGACTAGTTTCAAATCCTTATAGATCTATTTTAAAACTTTTGAAGTGCGACATAATGTCAGGAACACATAAATAACATCAAGTAAAAAATGTTAACCCTCGGAGCTCAAATTTTTTTTTCATTTTTCGGCTATTATAGGTCACCATTTTTGAGCGGTTAGGAAAATGGCGGGCGGTGACCTGTATTTGCCATTCGACCGCAAAGGGTTAAAGATATTTTAATAGACATTAAATTAAATGGTAAAAAGAAATTGGTAACATCGTGTGGCTGGCATACTGAACCTAGTGCAAGAGAGGTTGTGACACTATTTTTGATTGCCATTTTTTGAAATAAAAAAACATGTACCCTACACCTACAGATTTGAAAGTGGAGCTATAATATTCCAAAACTAGCCAACTTATAATAGATTATGGATTGACATTGACAATAACATAATGTATATTATAGTCAATGAATATTTTGTTTTTTACTATTGTATAGTTAGGCATACCAGTAGGAAATATTAATGGAGTAATATTGTTACCGATTTAGTTAGAGTTAAATTCATTATACTGATCGTCTTGACTATGAAGCAGCTATATTAGTTTAAATATCAGTACTGCCTTTAACACGTTGAGTGCAGCCTACGTTATGTAACGTAGTGTGGGACTGGCTCGCGCAGCGTACTACATTGAACTACGTAGCATTCCTAACTCTAAAGTATTGATTCAGTGACAGCACAGCCTCGCACGGGAAACTTTGTGCCGCTTGCCGCTTGTACCAGTTTTATACTTCAATCTGGTATAATTTGTTTTCAAATCCGCCAATTTCATCGGTGGTGTTTTTCGTCCCTGCTTTTTCCCTCCATTTGGCAGTAATAAGGGCCTGCTAGCAATTTTGTGTAGTGCTGCTATCTGTTCTTGTAAAACTACGTCCACAAGGACTGGAACACAGTACATTCTACAATATGCCTAAACTAAATTTAAAGGTTTTTGCGTACTCAACCATGCAGCGCATTAGCCACCGCACTTAACGTGTTAATATACATTTCTTCTTCTGTATATCTTTGTAATCTACTGGATCTCCCTATTCATTACTCTCTTGCTCATCCATTCTCGTGGATTCTTTACATTCTCAATCCAAAGGAGTCATACCCCTGTGCATTTATACAGATCTTAGAGAGGCTGCAAATCTCCTAAAACAATTGTATAAATCAGCAAGCTCAGAAAAAAAGGTATAGAGTAGGCAAGTAATAACCAATTACCTCAAAATAAAAAGCTTAAAAATGAAAGAAAAAATTACCTCAAAATGGAAAGCTTGAAAATGTTTAAAGCTTTATAGTAAACTTATGTGGAAGATAAGGATAACATGTAGTAACTTGTTGGTTTTCACTCAAGACACACTTGGGGGAGGAGAGGAAACCTTCACTGACAGACGAGGAAGAGTCTGGTTCAAGCACCTCCAGCTGTGACGAGATGTCGGGAATGGCTTTACTAGCAGACAGCGACACAGCGAGTGCCGGCTCCCCCTCCCACGCCCATGCGCATGGTGGGTTGTAAAGGGAGAACCAGAAAGTAGCAAATTTACTAACAAATAATTTTAGCATTTTGACCAAGTCTCCTTGCACTAACATAAGACTAAGGAAACCCAAGATTTGATATTGTTAGTATGATCCAAAATTTATGTTGCTTATTCCTTTCATCAATCTCTCATAAAAAAAATACTTTAATTTTTGGGAACTAAGATTTATTGTAAATATATATCATTGAAGTTAAAACATGCATAGCTAAATCTATTTAAAAGGTTCAAGACTCATTTAACAGATTTTTCTTAAATCACAGGACAAACAAAATCATTGTTAAAATTTACATTTTAACCCTTTGTCATAAGAGAGCATACGCCCGTATCACATACCCTCCTCTCGCACCATTAGCAATTATACTCTCCTGTTATAGTATTTGCCACAGTTGTTTGTTATCAAAACTGTCAATTTAGCATTCAAATTCTTGTCTGTTGATTTTTATGTGTGTCAATGAGCTGTGCAATATCAGTGAAATCTATTGATACCAGATTAATTTTTTCTGCTACTGATGTGTTCTGTACACTGCATGGCCATATCGGCCTTGCTCTAATAACTATCTGTTTGTTGATGCTACTTTGGTAAAATCCTTTTATTAAAATGAAATTGGATTAAAAATGGATATTGAAAATGGATTAAAAACAAATCTTTGGGCATGCAAAGGCTTAACTCTATTTATGTCAAGATATTTCAAGTACAGTGACTCCATTCGATGCAGTGTTGTTTTACTGACGAAGAAATACAACTTTTGCTTTGTTATAATTGATTCATGTTTGTAAAGTTAGCGTTTGAAATGAAAATGGATTAAAAACAAATCTTTGGGCATGCAAAGGCTTAACTCTATTTATGTCAAGATATTTCAAGTACAGTGACTCCATTCGATGCAGTGTTGTTTTACTGACGAAGAAATACAACTTTTGCTTTGTTATAATTGATTCATGTTTGTAAAGTTAGCGTTTGAAAGACTCCCCATTTATCCAAAGTTTATAGTGATCTTGAAGTTAACTGTCTGTCAAAAGGTGAGATGAAAGAAGAAGGTAGAAAGAAAGAAGAGACAAAGGACGAGGGTGCCACAGCCAATAGTGAGCCTCCGACTTTGACGGCTCACAAGGAAGATTACGATAGTTCTGCCACGGTGAGCACAACTGTCTAGTCCCATACCGTAGTCTGAGAACATACTGTGGCATGTGGGGTATTGTTTTGGTAGTTAGCCCTTTGTCTATCTGTCCATCTCCTCGTCTTCTCCTGGGCATGTCACTATCCCGGTCCTCTTTTTAGTCTTTCTTTATCTTGTTGGAAAATTGTGTATTCGTACCTAGTCGTGTAACCCGCGAAGATTCCTCATCCAATGTTGTAAAGTGAAGTTTTCTTTTAGTTTATGACCAGTGATAAAGATTATTTTGTTCTTTAAACACATATGATTTGTCAAAAGTATTGACAACCGTTTTGTTTTTCTAAGAATTATGATTTATGATTTGTCAAAAGTAATGACAAAAATTAGTTTTGAATACATGTTTATGTTCCTATTCAAAAGGTGAATAATTTTAGTTTTTTTTATCAGTGTAAGTCTCAATTTTGTTAGTTTTATTGTATAGCTTTTAAGTTTTGCGTTAACAATGCCTAAAACAATGATATATGGTTAGTTAAGAGTCTTTTACTCAAAAAGTGTTGATATATTCATTGTAATCCCCTGTTTTGTTATAACATCACATTTAAGGATTCAAAACAATGTTTCCAAAAAGTGGTAGGGCAGTGGAGTTTCACAAGTAAAGAAGATTATTCTTTTGTTTGTTTTAAATATGTAATTGAAAAAAACATGTTGTGTTATTAAAGAGCTTTTTATTAATTAGTTTTTATTTTTTATTTTATAAACATAGTAGTATGATTTTGAGTATTTACTAGGGAAGGGAACTTTTGCTGTTTTCTGCAGGTACCAACTCTGAGACATCAGAGAAGACAGTAAAACAATAAATTATTCACATTTTATATACGAAAAACATATGTCACAATATAATAAGTTTTATCGTTCCTAATTCCTGTGAAGTTGGTAGGTTAAGGGTATACTTACTTGCTGATTGACCTGTGCTTATTTTTTCTTTATGAAAGCAGCTATGTTAAAGAGCGGCTATGTTAAATAGCCCATTTTGGATGGGTATATGTTAATAAAAGCCACCGCTATTTACATCATGGATCATGGTACAGTAGAATCTCATTAATCTGGGACTCAAAAATCGCTAAGCGGTATACACATATATAAGTTCAATGACAGGGCTTACTGTAAATTCATTGGTAAATTTTTCATTGCAATTGAATATGTTGTGGCAACCATGCCCTAGACGTGTCAACCACATTGTGAGAGTTTGCACATCATTATCAAAGTGTTGAACTATTGTACATCATCAGCCCAAATTAGATGCAACAGTAGCAGTTTATAATGACCATGTTTGTATATACAGATAGTCTGAATGGTACATTGATCCAGATTCTTTAGAGTCTACTGTACCTACTAAAAGAAAAAAATAACTCCTCACCTCATATTTTAACCCAGTTGCTTGGATTAATCACAATCAAACATGCACTCTAAGTCAATCCCTCATTTGTTCAAGAAAATCTAACTGTGCTGAATTATACAAATCAACAATCAATGAAGTAACAAAATCTGCACTTTTAAAATGCTTATAAAACACACTGAACCAATTAAATTCAATTAACAATAATCAATATTATTGTAACATTTCTACATCACTACATTTTTATGAATGATTACCATCATCAATACGAGTAATTTCCAGTCATTTGTGTGAAACATTTTGGTAAACTAACAAGTCTTAAGAGGTTACGCATTTGTAATGAGTAAAGGTGGTTATTTTATCTGATGGCTAAATAGATTTTTTTATAACACGTTTGAATCAGTTCATGTGTATTTTATCATCATCATACACTGTGCTCTCGTAAAAAGATTAAATTATAGGGTTTCTAGAGCAATACAAGTTATAAACTTATGTATTTCTCAACCGTAATCACATACAATCAAATATCACCTTTCATCTCTGGGGTCTGGTGTGGTTATCATATCTGAAACATTGCTAACACTTAACAACTGATGTCTGTAAGATCTGTGTCCAAAGAAATGTGTTAACAATCTTCAAAGCAAACTCTAATTAACTTTCTTAACAATTTATTTCCCAATGCCAAATTTAATTGAACTTTTTTATACCTTTCAATCGTATAGTGCATACAATTGAATGGTTTCAAAAAGTTCAATTAAATTTGACATAAAAATACAGTAAGGGTAAAAGTAAAAAAAAAACTAACGGGTTGTAATAAATATGAGCATTTTTGAGTTGTAAATACAATAAAAGAATAGAAAATATTAAATGAATAATTTAAATTTGAATATATTGTGTAATGCTTATGGTGTATAGCAGTAAGACATTTTATTTTTCTAGGGTACCAAACGGCTTCCTAATAACAAAAATATGAAACTAAAAAAACACTAGTTTGTATGCTAATAAACTTAAAAAAACAAAATGAAAAAATGTTCAATGATGAAAACTTTGTACCTAACACTTTTCACATTGGAACCATCTGTAGTGTATGCTGAAGCTACCTTTGAGCCCAGACAAAATTAATTTACGCCTAACATTATTTCATATTAGATCTGTTGGGCGCACACAGAAGCTACCTAAGCCCTGGCTAAATTAATTTGCACCTACAATTTTTTTCATGTTAGATCAGTTGGTGGGCGTACATTGAAGCTACTTTTGAGCCCTAACAAAATTAATTTGCACCTAACATTATTACATGTTAGATCCGTTGGGAGCACACAGAAGCTACCTTTGAGCCCTGACAAAAATAATTTCCACCTAACATTATTCCACACTAGATCTGTTGGGCACACACAGAAGCTACCTTTGAGCCCTGACAAAATTAATTTGCACCTAACATTATTCCACACTAGATCCGTTGGGCGCACACAGAAGCTACCTTTGAGCCCTGACAAAATTAATTTGCACCTAACATTATAACATGTTAGATCCGTTGGGCGCACACCAAAGCTACCTCCGAGCCCTGACAAAATTCTACATCAGACTGATTTATTAATAACTGAAACCATGTAAAATTGGGTGTGATGCATTTTCTCTAAAGATGTACAGAGGGGGTACCTTCAAGTCTGAACTTGCAATTCATACCTTTTTTTCTAAACCTTTGCAAGTGCTGAGGTAACCTCTGCTGTGCGCCCGATGAAAGGTTAAGGGTACCTCTGTACCCTACCCCCAGGGTGTGTTAGTAAGTCTTGAGTGTTGTTGGGTGTGGGACCAGGAGACGGCAGACGAGGGCCAAGGGGCAGGGGAGATGGAGGGTCGCAGTCAAGCCCCGCCTACGACCGCATCGTCACCTCTCACAGTCAAAGACATCATGTTGGGTGTCATCGAGATGCAGTTGATGAAGAACCAAGCTGCGGCCGGTGGGTCCGGCCCTGCCCCTACCATCTCGTCCATCCTCAAGACTGACCACAGCTTTGTCAAGTCGGGGTCCCTAGCTACCCTATCCGTCGTCGCACCCCAGGAGTTGGCTAAGGACAGCCTTGTTGTAGTTCAGGTACCTCACTCCACTCACTGCATGAGGGCTGCAAAGCTTGGTTGTGCTATTTACTTCTCCCCCTTTCTTTCCCTCTATTGACGAGTATTGAAAATGGTTTCACCTAGTACTGTGCGTTTTAGCGATATCGTAGAATTGATTTAGGCAACCGAACTAAATGTAATTTCCCACAACAAAGAATGTGTAAAGAAAATTATGTGTAGTAAAATTTGTCCTATTATGTCAACTGAATGTGACCGATGTTATAATGTCTCAAATATTTTGATATCGTACATAACAATTTGTTTCTTTTTATGATAAATAAAATAGAGTTGTGCAAGCCTGGGATTTTTGATCGAGCCGAGCAGAGAGCTTTTTTAAAAAGCTTGTGCCTCAAGCTTTATTGGAGTCGTGCTTATTAATATCATGATATTTTATGTGGCCATTTTATAAGTTGATCTTTCGGGTTGCCGGAATTTTATCCCTCTGGAATTTTATCCCCTGGGCAAAGCTGACGTCACTATGACGTAGTAACCTGAGTGGCCAAAAGTTTGTTCGCGGCCGGAATTTAAACCCCTGCGGATTTGGAAGTCCAATGAAAATAGTCAGAGCGTGATTAATTAGATTAGCGATAAAAACCGGAATTTTACCACCTGTCCATATAACTAGCGTTTAGACATCTGAAGATGTACGGGCCGGATTTTTACCCCCAGATTTTTACCCCCGGATTTTCACCCCCGGATTTTTACCCCCCGGAATTCTACCCCCTGGCCGATTTTAGAAATTGAATGATTGATTTTCTTATTCCTGTTCTTAATTAATTGTAAACATTTCATTATTTAGTAGCCTATCTTTATTTATTTATTTTGTAATCTCAACTAAGTAAACAGAATTCGCTGTTTTATTTTGATCATATTAACCAACAGTTGGCTTCAAAGGGAATCCTGATACTTGAATCTCAAAATTAAAATTAAAAACCTGTTCAAATAGTTAATGTTACGAATAAATTAAGATAGGCTACTTAATAATAAAATGTTTACTATTAAATTATAACTCAATGAAGATAATTAATCATTCTCACTAATTTATATATCTGGCCAGGGGGTAAAATTCCAGGGGTAAAAATCCGGGGGGTAAAATCCGGGCCGTACATTCTAGGTTTTTCCATCGAGCTGATGTCGCGAAACTCAAAAGTTCGCGGCCGAAATTTTATCCCTTGGTTTGTGACGTCACGTTTGCCCAGGGGGTAAAATTCCAGGGGGATAAAAATCCGCTACCCCGATCTTTCACAAACCTTTGTTTTTAAACACAATTTAATGCTGTGATGTAGGGTTAGATATAATATTTTTCAGTATATAAAAGATATAAAAAAAGGAACTAAGTTAAATATAAATAAATATAGGCCTAGGTTAAAGATAAATATACCTTATTTTCTTTCCTTGAAAAGGCATTATTTTATGAAAATTAAGAATAGATTTAAATAAATATTCAAATAATAAATGAATATTCCAACAATAAAAATCCCAACTTATATCATCGTTTTTTAAAACTTAAAATTAACTTAATAATGCAATAGCATGAAAGTTATTGATTGAAAGATTTGTAGGTAAATATAGTTTACAATCAAAAGCATATTTAAAAATAGGAGGATTACAAATTTTATATTTATATTTTCAGAAAAATTGTTTTACTATGGAAAAATTTTAAACCTTTTTTTTAAACTTGTTGGCTATTCAGCTCAGCTCTCATATCTTTATTATAAAATGATAACTGTATCAACAGGTATATAATCGTCACCTGTACAAATTATTCTTGACTATTCAGCACTAAAATTTGCTTAAAATAATCCTCCTTAACTACCTCACCCATTTCTTTATGAATTTGATGGTTTGATATTTAAATCATTATTCATCAACTTAGATCGATTAAAAAAAACTCCTTTGGCAAATGCTCAACCACTAGAAAAGTGCATTGCTCTTCCAAATTGTATGATATCCTCCATGTACATACTTCACTGCTTATTCCTGTAAAATATCACCTGTTGTCTAATACAATAACTATCTTCAACTTCTTGCAAATCAGCCAAATGTGTGGACTAAAACCTGAACTTTGGGATGAATGACTCTGCACATTTTGGGCTATTAACATAGACATAAACTGGAGATAATTTGCTTACATTAATGCATAACATGATTCATACAAATAAGATGGTTCGCCTAATCTTCCATCCTAACTTGATGGTTCTTGGCGCAGTTCACAAGTTCACCACAACTGCACGTTCACTCCTCATGGTTTGGCTTGAATATCACTTCATGTATCCCCAGGCAAATCACATCTCTTACTTCCTTGTAAAATAATGATACCACCTTAAAAACTTCATTATTATAGCAATGAAGCGAACATGTTTTTACTGTCATTTCAAACACTAAATGTTGTAACTTTTCTGTGCTGCATTTGTATGTACAGAACTGCAGACTTTCCCTTTTAATAACTTCAATGAAATTTATATTTAACTCTCCCCTTGTTTTATATTCTATTTAAGCTCACTCCAGATAATCTTTAAGAAATATTGTAAATATGTTTCAAATCAAAACACAATGGAAAAATAAAACAAAATCCTTCTTTAAGGTTGTAAGAAGAGACTCTTGAAGACATTTATCTTAATATTGGTATGCTGATTAACATATGGAATTGTATTAAGCTCTAATGCTGTCACTCAACAACATTAAGTTATACTTTTTAAAGTAGATCTGGCATGGGTATCTATATTTCATTAACAGTTGCGCATTTATGTTTAACAATACATAATAAACTAAGTGGATGTCATATTTATTATAATTTCAATACACAATAAAAATTGATCTTGTTTTGTTTACAATATAAAAAATAATTATGTTTGAATATAATTTCAACACTGACTCTATTATATACAAGGTGACATGTAATGTTTGTGATAAATCCTATTTCCCCTCATTTTGAACTCATCATGATGTGTTGGCTTTTACACCCGTTTTGCTTAGTTTCTTTACCTCTGTCCTCATTATCATCTTAGTTCTTAGTTGTGTCTTAGGTATCAAGTTTTTTTGTGCATGTATGTATTTATGCCTTAATACAACTGCTTTCGACCCTAACAGTATGTTCTTTATTTACATGGCAATTATATTGCGCTTATTAGTTATTTGTTTATTAGCTAAGCATCATTCATACTATTTCACCGTTGAATATATTAAGTTACTCATACTTGCATGACAGGTAGGATACGTCCAAAGGATATATTTTACAGTAAATACCTAATTAGGAAACATGTTTTTGTACAGTTCTATGTTATATTGTAAACTGAACTATTTTCATCAAACATACACAGCTGCAATGATTAGCCATGAAAAAACTTGGTGGAAGAAAAAAAAGAAAAAAAAACCCGATAAATATTTTACTTACAACCTGTTGTATAAAAATAATCTTAAAATTATGCAATGTACTCCAATTGCTATATTCTACTTCACAATTTTACAATTATAGTTTTACACAGGTAGGTATACAAGGTTATATTTACATAATTATGTAACAAGAGATTCCAAATAATTGTGTAAGTTACTTCCATTGTTGAAAAATCTTTATTTTTTGGCATCAGCAACATCAATCCTGCTCATAGATGTTTCAGGATCTAAAGATATGGAGCTTTTACCATCACTATTCTGTACATAATATGAACTGTGTTCCGTAATAAGGTTTCTGTAGGAAGGGTATGTTGATAACTTATGACGGGACCATCATCTCATTGGGGTGGAAACTGGTCTGAAAAATAATGGATGAAGTAAGAAAAAAGTTGGCCTCAGATTTTAACTAGCTTGCTCGGCTGCTATGGAAGCTCGATGGAGACCTTAATTTTAGGACATCTCACACATTTTAGATTGGGTAAAGAAAAAAACCAAACCATTACACGGGTATTATTAATTACACTTGAGTCAGGCTAATCCAAAATAATTGGGACTGCTTGCTGTTTGGATCAGCTGATTGTTCCAATTAGCTGAAATACGAGGGCGGTTTTCTAAGGAAGGGATGATTTTGCGTATAAATCCGTGGTTCGCTTGTACACTGCAACGAGTCTCATCACCATTTACTGGCATCATTTGTAAATAGGACACAAATTTCAGTTCTGTTGCTGTCATGTTCGCTTTGCTGTGTTTAAAAAAGAATTTTAAACAATCATCGCCCGCCGCATTTGAGGTAAGGTTAGTGATAACTGATAAGTTTTTTGATAACAAGATAGGCCAACATATACGATGCCAATATTCATCGCCAAATGACTGGAGATTTTGACCCTGATGTAAAGATAGCTTGGAAAGTGCAGAAATTGTCTAGGGAGTTTAAATGACTATGAAAATGCTAATTTTGGAAAGAATTGTGTTTTTGGCTTTCACAGCAATTTTTAAACTACATAACCCATTTCCGCACCTTACCCTCACTCATTGCATTAGGGACATCACCTCCAGTTATTTGGCAATGAATGTCAGCATCGGACATGTTTTTTGTAATTAAAAAAATGTATTACTGGCCTTACCTTGGATGCGGCGGGAGATTTTATTGTGTAAAAAATGTAAAAACACATTAAAGCGTATATGACAGTTACAGAGCTGAAATTTGTGTCATTTTGCCAGTAAATGGTGATGAGCCTCGTTGCGGCGTACAAGCGAACTACGGGTTTTTACCCGAAACTGGCCCTTACTTAAAATTAGGGATGGACGAGATTGGATTTTTAGTTCGAGACGAGACGAGACAGGATCTTTTATTCCTCATAACATTTTGAGACAAGATTGGGACAGGATTTTCCTTCTCATACATAACGGTAAATACACGTTTGACATTTTAACCTGATTTTGTAACATTTTAAAATACCTACTGATTTATGACAGATGACTGGTTAATACAAAAATAATAATACTAATAGACAAGAATATTTAAAATCCTTTATAAAAAACATTAATAAAAAACTTCAGTATAAAAAAACAAATATTAATTAGGCCTACCTTATTAAAGATAACACTTCTGCATAGGAAGCATGGCAATATCAGTTAGGATATAGTTTAACTTTAAAAAATGCAAAGTTTATCAGTCTGAAACATCAGTCTTACTAGTTAAGTATCAAGTAGTCTTGTTTTATTTTTAGGATGATTTTGGGTGACTTGTTTTGGCTATGTTAAAACAAGTCTCACACTGCTCACACTTAACAAAACTTCTAATCATTTGTGATGTCAAAAGCAAAAATTATAAAACAATAAAGCAATATTTACATGTAAAGAATGAATTAAATAAGAACACCCTCGCAATGGAAACGCAACAACAACACACTCTTGTGTTGCGGGTATTGCATTGACTTTCTGCAGGCGTTTTTAAAGTTTTTTTTTTTATCTCGTCTCAAAAAAAAATCTTGATCAACATAAAATCTTGTCTTGTTAAAATTTCCCAAACATTTTCTCTAAATTTCGAGACCCGTCCATCCCTACTTAAAATACCGCCCTTGTAATTTAAATATGATAGAACTTTGATTATTTTTGGTTTGTCAAAACATTGAGCAATAAATCACGTAAAGAACAAAACAGTTTTCTATTTTAGAAAAAAAATATATATATAAATATATGAATGCATTATTAAAAACTAAGTACCCTTTTATAATTCATTTTATTTTGTTGTTAAATAAAATGAATTATAAAAGGGTACTTAGTTTTTAATAATGCATTCATATATCAAAATAGTAGCCCTAATCACTACAGTTTTCTTAATATATAAATATATACAGTGTTACCATAAAAACACTAGAGGACTTTGGGATGTAGGTCTTCATACTAAAAAAGTTTCCTTTTATTTGATCAATAATATATTCCAACCAAGGGTCACAATGAATAACATAAAAAAAGTGTATGTGAAGGTATGTCAGAAAATCTATTTTTACCCAGTTATCCGCCATTTTGTTTTTTTATACATAAACATTTTTATCCTTGAAGTTTTTCAACCGATCTTTATGAAACTTGGTATGCATAGAAAAAAGATTAAGTTGGTCCAATTTGATTTTTTTTTTATTTAAGTTTGCTTTTATTTATAATTTTCTATTAAATGACACAATTAAAATATCAATAAGATTGAAAGACAAATAACTGAAATGTAAATTTGTTTGTGTAAAATAAGGCTTAGTTAGTCAGGGTGCTCAACTAAAAAACATGATATTTCAGTTGTTCGTCATTAGATCTTTTTAAACTTATAATTGAGCAAAAGATTAAGCCTTTTTTGATATAGCCCTTGCAAATGCTCCTTTACATCAAAAAGTCTATTACAGTTTTAAGGGGATTTGAAAAGTACACGAGGTTGTTTTATCATTGAGGGTTGTATAAATGAGTTTCTACTGTATAAAAATTGTAGTTAACGCAACGATCAGTTAAGGATAGTCTTTACGACAGGAGTAGAAAATTTAAGCTTTAAAACTTCTACGAGTGTCGTAAAGGCTAATAACGTTTTTTAATTACTAAAATTCACTACTCATAACTTCTAAGAGAAGTTATGTTTTTGTTAATAACGTTTCATTGTGACTGATTGTGATGCTACCACTTATTGCCCCAACCACTCACTTATTGTTTTAATCTATTAAATTGGTCTTAACAGCTGATAAGTTGACGTTCGAAGTATTACACTTTTACTTTTTTTCTCTAAATTCTTGCACCTCATGGGTCCAAACTTGTACTGTAAAGTAACAAAACAATAATAATAGCTTACATAACAATCGTGTAAAGATAGTGTTAACGACACAAGTAGAACATTTCCATTGGTCCGTTACACGAGTATTTAAGTAAAACTATGCTGTTATGTAGGTAAACAATGCTGTTATGTGAAACCTTTCAATTCTAAGAACTGAACTGAAACGGCTACTTAAAAAAAAACGGTTGTAGGTAAAGTAAGTAAACAATACTGTAAAGTGAATCTTTTCAATTCTAAGAACTGAATTGAAAAAGCTGGTTTAAATAACGGTCGTAGGTAAAAAAAAAACTGTACTATATCAAATATAGCTGCTAAACTATACATTAAGAAGGGTCAAAGATGTTCTTAACAAAACAAGGCATGTACAAGCACATTTTGGCTTCCACCCATTCATCAGCTCTCAGAACGTTTTGGCTTCCATCGGAGCCAAGCAATATTTTCAAAAAAATCATAATGATCTGTGTCAAAAATTCTACCTTTAAAACTCTAGCATTGATTCAGTTAGGTTAATGGATCATTGCTCCTATAGGAATTGAAATCCTTCGGATCTAGAATTTAAAATGCTTCGGAGTTATGGGAGAATCCCCAACTAAGCAGCTAAGCGCCATCAAAGCTCTTTGCTTGCAACTCAAAGTCTGTTTGTGGCAAATCCCTCCAGTAGGCATTAAAAGAAATCAATAAACCAAAATGAAAATGGAGAATCTATATCACTTATTCATGATATCACTTTAAGCAAAACATAGTTCTGCTATTTTTGTTGGCTTTTATGCTTACAGTACCTATGTTGATTGGACAGCCTTTGAGTATATCTGTAAAATGCCTTTTGCAAAATTGGAATTGGTAGTTTTGGCAGTTAAAAAGTGGAAACTAAATCCTTGATCATTTTACGCTCAAACTGTGTACTTGTTTAACGTACCAAAAATGTGGTTTGGAATTGAAACCGTAGGGCTGAAACTTGAAACTTAGGTAAAAACACATTGGTAGAGGTAAGAATCTCACTCCTTCAACTATGACGGTTATCTCTTATAATAATTTTGAAAGAAGTCGACAAAATAGCCATATAGAACAATTTTTGTACAAATTCATAACCAAACAAAATTATTAATCATACAACAAAGTTATTTATACAAAGATTTACTCTTATATGCTTGGGATAAATTTAAAAAATAAATCTTCCTACCCTGTTTTGGAATTTTTTTATTTGTACATTTCCTTAAAATTAATTCTTATAGCTCCGAAACTGCTTTATATACTATTATGGGTGTACAGTATATGTATATTGTATGTATGTATGTGTAACAGGGCTCAGTGGAATGCTATCGTAAAACATTTCTCCAGTCCAGGAAATTCATTACATCCGCTTGGTTAGCTTCGTTGATGGTTTCATTGCACACATATACTAAACATACGACACCTACGACATATGATTGAATAAAACAGATTCAGAGGATTTTTTTGATGGTGACGTGGTATTTTTGTGATGGGCCAATTGTAAAACATATATTAATTATCGAATGTTGAGTATATGTGTACAATACAACCATCAATGAAGCTAACCAAGCGGATGTAATGAATTTCCTGGACTGAAGACATGTTTTACAATAGCATTTCGATGAAACATGTATACCTGTTTCATCATTTGGAACTGAATGACAGGTACTGTAAACTCATAGTATTATATTTAATTACTGTTATTTTTCCCAGAAATTTGAAAAGCACAATTTTCATAATAGAAAACAGATACCACAGAACCATATTTTAGGCAGAAGATCTCCAAATTGTATAACATGATTTTTTTTCAGCAATCTACAATTCCATTAAAATACATTTAAAATAAAATACATTTATACAAATTCCATTTAAATATTATATAAACACTAAACAGTCATAACTCATTTAAACTAATCGAACTAGAAACTGCTGAAGTGAACAGGTAGCCTAAATAACTTATCATTGATACACACTTTTCTTGTTCTGATATGTAGAAAACGAGGAAATAAACCAAAGATAGTCTTACTATTTATTTAGACTTTAAATTAAACTCAAACTTTTTCTCAATAAAAAACTTGTAGAGATGATTGAAGAAAAGTGGGAATCTTCTACAAAGATTGAAAATGAACTGTTTCTACAATTGAGCCTTGAATAGTTTGTTAGGGATCAAAGAAGTGAAATTTATTATCATACCATAAGTAAATCCTTAAAAAACCAACCCAATTTTCCGTGTATCAGACTCGGTTATGTATAGACATTAGGCAAAAATCTGTGTCTAATCAACAATACCAACAATGCTCTTTTACAGACAGTTCAATGTAGTTAAAATATTATTGCCAACTTAGGTTACAGCAGGTTTCAATTATTATCACGAACCATTTAGGCCTACTGTATATTTAATTTAGATATGTATTCTATTACTTGAAGTAATAATTGTAATAAAAGTAGAAATAGTAGGGTTAATTTCTAGTAGTATTTCTACTATCAAACAGATGCTACATTTTCACATTAGCCCTCACAGTCAGAAAGGTTATTCCATTATCTCTGTGAAAAGACTAAATATGTAATATATTCATAATACCTCAATTTTGTTCTGAATTCAAAAAAGTTTAGAACTTAAAGCCCAGCACTGAGAAATTTTATATAGCGAGGATAAAGTCTTGACCAAATGCATATTCAGTTTGTAACTCCTGTGTTTAATTCATAATGTAATAATGTGATGAATTACAATTGCTTAACTTAAACACTAATTCATAAAGATTTTGATCAATATTGGTCTATTCCAAGGTGCAGCAACCACTAAACAGAGACAGGGAGACAGAGGGAACTCTTGACCTGAGTATCAAAAAGCCTCGGACAGATTACAGAGAGGCTAAACCGTCACCACTCGCACCGCCTCACTCTGTCACCGTCTATCGGACAGCGTCTACCCACACTGACTCAAACTACTACCACCAGGTGACAAGCATTAGTATACAAAGTAGTATTACTATATTGTCCCTCGATAATCTAGCTTAAACTAGCAGCCTGCATAGGCCATTTAAATTAGGGAATTAAAGAGACCATTAATAAATTCAAAAATTCAACAGCAACACTTTAAAGTGCTGCTGTTTTATGAACTTGGCATTGGCTGGATGGTGAGTCTTAAGTATTCCGTGTTTTGTTCCCCAATTTGTCACCACTTGCAAGCAGTGCATTTCGGTGTTGTGTGATTAATGACTGCATCTACTATAAAGGCATAGTAGTTACAGTTATTAAATTATGTATGTAATTTCTTCTAATGTTTTGTTCTAATATTCTATTTTTTATGCTGTGATTTTCTCAAGCGAGGGAATCCAGCAGGATTATTAAGGGACGAGTAATGGAGGAACTGCTGTAACTTGTTACTTTAGGAAAACTTATTGTAAAACTTGTAAAACTTCAAGGAACATCCATTATTTTGTATAATGTGTAGATATTATATACCATACATAGATTGAATAGTTTATAATATGGTAGATCCTAAATAATTGCTGCTCACATTTACTGTCTCTACCTTGGTAAAGAGCAACCTTACGAAGCCTTTTCGAAGCAAACTGCTTTTGGCCAGAGACCCAAGGGCTGAGATTTTTCACCTAAAGTCAATGCTAAAATTATTCGTTTATAATAGCCTATCTTTGGATAAACATCGTTTTGACAGTTGGTAAATTAAAAACAGCTGATTGAAAATGTTTGTTTGAATTCTAATTTACATAAAACAAATTAATATAATATTTAAAAAAATTTATTTCACTTTTAAACCTAAGCTGCTAACAATACTTCATTGCATCAATACTTCGGGGATTACGTTATGGTGGGAGAAAGCTAAGTTTAAAAATCAGTATTTGATTGGAAGTATTTTCCCCTGTATCAAGTAATCTTCAGTGTGATCTTTGCTCAATAGTTCACACTGTACAACACAAGTCATCTTTAAAAACACACTGAAACTGATGTTTTCCTACAGTTACCTAACAATGTACATGTTCTCTCACTGATTTGAGAAAGCAAAGTGGCCAATTCGCTCATCAGTGAGACAATGTTAACATTGTCTCACTCTAATTACTTTGTCTCACTCCAGATTTGCAAGGTGAAGGCACGAAATAGTGAGCGCGTAACATGCAGACAAGGTCGTATGCGCGCAAAATACGTTGGCAGCACTGGCTGTAAATCAGCTGGTCAGCTGTTGTACTGTTGTTGATCGTGTTGATCATTAAATGTCATATTAAAAGTTCACTTCTGTGTAAAAATATGTCACGTTTCTTTACTAATTTATTTGTTTTATTGTAACTGTAGGAAAAATATAATGTGCAACTCGAGTGCAAAGTGCAATTGCCTCACTCGAGAAACCATTCCTCACTCGCCTAGATGGCTCGTGAGTAAGGATTTCTCTCGAGTGAGTCAATTGCTCACGTTGCTCACTATTTGCACAAATAACTATTTCCCTTTTTTTTTTACTTGAGGTAATGAACAAACATGTTATTTTAGTACGTGTACATGATCTGTATAACTCTTTTCTCTGCAGGTGGCTTCACCCCAGCTTCAGTCCAAGCTGTCCCCCAAACTGTCCCCCGGACTGCTAGGTGTGGGAGGGTCTATACTGCATGGGACGCCAGTGTCCTCACCCTCCATCTACACGTCGTCTGGTCCGCAACAAGCATCAACTCGCTACGACTCCTCCCCTTTACTGCGTCAGATGACTCCCCCTCATGCCACCAAAGAGGCGTCTACTGGCTCTATAACACAAGGTAAATGCCACAATAGTTAAAAAGTAAGTGTTCCTAGGTCACTAATAGTACAAACTAGGTCTTCAAACTGAGTGCTGACAATCCATGCTTGTTTGAGAGAGTACCCAGAGCAGTGTAGTGCCAGTTTCGGTGAACTGCTCTGTGGATGGCTGTCTGAAATAAGACTGAAATGTCTGCACTTAATAAGTTTTTGTCTGAAGCTGCTGTACCAAGAAACCCTAGTTCATAGTATTGGTCATAATTGTTGTAACATAAACCTGTACATCCAATAAACAGTCAGTTACAATAACTTTAACAAATATGTGTGAGTCATTGTGAAAATTATAGCGCCAAATATTTAAAACATAAGTATTAACCCATTGAGAAAGGAATTAATGCGGTGCCTGTGACCCTCTGTTGGCAATTAATTTTACCAAATTTGTAGACTTTTGATCTAATTGTTATAGAAAGAAACCCTTAGGTAATCAATTAATAATCCTGTTGCCATTTCGTTCACAGTAAAAATGTCTACAAAAAAAATGGTAATTGGATAATTCCAAGATTAATTCAGACACCAAATGACACTACTATTATAAAGTTCAATTGATTCCCTACGTGAAAAAATCACAAGTTATTACTTGTATAAGTAATAACATTTAAAAAATTGTTTGTTTTACCTTACCGCAGCTGATTTAGGGTAATATTTGGTTTCCATGGCAACACAACCTTGGTTGTTATGCACAAAAATAAGTGAGTAAATATGCAAAACAAGAAACAAGATATTTAAAAACATCATAAATTAAGAAGAAACAAAAAGGGGGGGAATATATATCTAGTGGCTCTGGGTAGCGGTGACACAAGTGGCACTCGTAAGTTGGCGCCAATGGGTTAACTAATGAAATATGGTAGGTACTAAGATTGTTTACACATGCTTAACTCCTACACATTAAATATTAAAAATCATGTTAATGCAACAGTAGAGTTTGCATAACAAACATTTGTTCATTAACACTAAAAGTGTAGAGACAAAATACTCAATTATGTATTAATGCTTGGGTTATTAACAGAAGTCTTACTCACGTTGTTGCCTCTGGCTGTCCTGAAGCCAATATACCTGTTTTCTGTTTTTTTTCTCGCTCATGAGTCTTAATACAGTTTTATTTGATTTAAAAGCAAATATGTGAAGGAAATCAAATTTTTACTGTCTGGTTGTAACTTTGTGGCATTTTATGTTAAATGTCTTGTATTTGTCGATGGAAATTTATCACTAATGCTTTTTTGTAAAATTCTGTTTTCGTGCACTATTTGATCAAGTTTTTACCATTACTACATGAAGAAAAAAAATTTAAGCTATTTCATGAAGTAACATGTCAAACATTTATTGAATTGTATAGCTGCCCATGTATTATTTATAAGTACATTTAGGAATGTTTTTGCTTGTATCAATTAATTATGTAATTGTACTTGGCCGCTGGAATGAAAATAAATAAATTAATAATTATCTAATATTTTATATGAGTGTCTAAAACTCAAACTGTCCGGCAGGCACCCCTGTACACCAGCGTGGAATCTACCCGGGATCTACAAGCAGTGAATACTACAGTAGCAGCGGCACCAAGCGTCCTACACCAACGGCCCAGGGATTTTACTCTCCCCGACCTCCAGCGTACGCCGTGGAGCAAAGACAAATCATCATGAATGACTACATAACCTCACAGCAGATGCACGGGAGCGCAGCACGAAGGACCAATGACAAAACAACTCTTTATTACCCTCCTCGACAAGGAGTGATTCAAAGACACAACACCAAGCCTCCCTCACCTCACCATTACCCAGCTGGGCACAAGCCTCCGTCCCCCCACCACTATCCACCAGGACACGAGGCGTTCTCCTCACTAGTGGATGTGGCAGTACGACAGCCAAGCCTGCCTGTGCCTCATCCTGACCACAAGGAAGACAAGAGGCTGCTGCACGAGGGCCTAGGAGAGAGGTTCAACCGAGAGAACACCCAGGATAGGTAAATACCATCACTCTTTAAACTTTGTCTAGTTAAACCCTGTAAATGAAGTGAAGTAATTCAAGACCTCTTGGCTGTCCTAAAAACATGGGTCACGGAGAAAATCAACCAATCATTAGTTTAAACTCTCTTCCCAGTGTTTAAGTGAAGATTTTACTAAAGAAATTAAATACGGACACACGCAAATAAATTAAAAAAAAAAAAAAAAATAGGTGGCTTTATTTATTTTGTAATGTTTATTCTTTGGTGAAGTTTAAAGTTTTCATTTTAACAGTATCTAATAATTTAAAGATATTTTATCATGTGAAAACACTCAAGTGTGTTGCACTATTTTAAAAAGAACTACTATTTTGTCAATTTAATCAGGTTTGCTAATCGAGACCAAGAAAGGTTTTCTCGGGAGAATCATCAGATTCAGCATCGGCAGATCCCTGAAAACCATCATCAACAACACCAGTCGCAAGCCCATCCGACATCAATGCACCAGCCCTTGCACCATCATGTAAGTATCTCTAGCTATTAACATAGTACATGCTCGACTTTCCGTTCATATAAATAAATAATATTGACACATCTATACTTCCTACTTTAAGCAGTACTTTTCCACATTACAATGTAATATTTATGTTTACATAATGTTGGAACAAATGTTATCATCAGATTTATTGTTTATTACAAATAACCAGAATTGCAGCATACGTAAACACATATGTTATTCTAGTATTTTTGGTTTGATTTAATCATATATATTAAAATGTGACAGGGTTTATGTATTTCACGATTCTGTATCAACCACTTAACGGATTTTCATGATTTTTGTGTTGAAAGAAAGATAATTTTTAGAACTAGGGAATGTCAAAGCCATAATTTTAGCTTAGGGTTTTATTTTTTTACAAATCAAGTTTAATTTTTTTAAGTCTAGCAGCCGACACTAACATTCTAGACTAGCTTTTAGTATAAAATCATTTGCTCAACGTAATGCCGGGTTTTCCTAGGTGCGGAGTCGGCGAGCGGAGAGAGGAACGTGGAGAGCGGACTCCACTTGTCTTAGGCAATTTAATGTTACTGTTTTCCTAGAAGCGGAGCGGAATGCCATGTTAATTTAAATTCCGCTCTCCGCGTTCCTCTCTCCGCTCGCCGACTCCGCGCCTAGGAAAACCCCGCTTAACAGCTGTAAACATTCAGCTCATGTGACACAAATTTAGCATTTGGATATAAATGACTTAGGCTACAAAGGTTTGACGTATCTATACTATGTGTAATGCTATAGCCATGATACGTTTATTTATTCGTTAAGAGGATTGCATATACATAGTAAAATACTGGATGATCTAATTTTTTATTTTAATCTTTAACATCTTAAGTTTGTTTTAGTGCAATATAATTTGTTTAACTAACAGCTGATTGAATATACAAGAGATAAGTTTATTTACTCTGTGATTTAGTAATTGATTTTAGGAAATAATCAAGATTCTTAAGCCATTGCTGTATAAAATCGAGGCTCTCATTTTATGTTTACAAGATTGTTTTGCTGTTTACAAGATGATTTTACCCATTAAACTGTCAGAATTTGCCTTAATTTGTGTGAAATAGCTGTTTTGAATTCTATTCGGTTTTAGTTGACTACTCGATTCCCGTATGTAGGACGGGCCAAGAGCTCGTTCATATTTAAAAGGAAGTAAAGAATTTTGTAAATAAATAATTATAATAAATATCTTATTTAAGTTATCATTTGCGAAGCCACTACAGATAATTATTTGCAAACCCATAACGTAACGGAACTAAAAACATGGACCTCAATAAAAAGATAAAGTTAGGAAACTTTTAAGTATCCAGTTGTGTTACCTGTTTTGATTTAGATTGTAATCCTCACTCTGTTTATTTCTTATGCTGCATGAAGGTTATACCATCTCAGGCGAAGCCGCGGGTGCAAGCTAGTTTATGTTGAATTTATGTTCCTCTACCAGTTAAATCTTAATATCACAGTCAGTCTTTCAATGACACCAGATTTTATCGTCATTTCAAATATAGGCCTGCTGTCCATAAAGTTAATTCCCATTGAAATAATTTGTTATAATATTATTTTGTTCGTATTGTGTAGTGTACCATTTATTTCTTTATTCAGAAGAAATTAGTTCATTTAAGGGATTGAAACATCAAAGAGTTACTTTGAATTTGAACCCTTAACTGTAGCTACTGTGATCTACTGAAGTTTACACTTTGACCAGTCCAAACGCCTTAAGTTAGTTCACTTAATATTCAAGTAAAACTAAATCCATCAAATATCTATAACCAATTAATTTACAGAGAGAGATGGAGAGAGAGAGGAGTCATATTCAGCAACAGCATGGAGCGACACACATACGGGAACATCAGCTTCAGCAACAACTTAGGGAACAGCAGTTGCATCATCAGCATCAGCAAATGCAGCAACAACAGATGCAACAACAGCATCAGAGAGATTTGTTGCATCAGAAGCAGCAACAACAGCAACAACATCAGAACCACCTGCAGAGCTTGGAACATCATAGACTTAGTCGTATGTCAGGGTCAGGCTATCCTCCCCCGCCTCAACAAAATCAGGAGTCGTCCAGAATGATGCAACTGCCACCACCCCCTCCCCCCCGCCAACATCCGGACAACAGGTATAAACTTACAAGTAAAACAAGACTACATTATTCACTACACACTATTCACACTATTCACTGACTGATATTAATCAGTTACAATAGTTAAAGTCAATTTTGGAATCCAATCTATCCCTCAAATTCTAATGGGAATACAGGGATCAACCTACGGAGCTAAATCTAGTGAAGACAGTGGATGAGGCAATAATTCAAACTTGAACACCATGATTTTTGCCATCAAAAACTTAGTGGGATATTTTTTGGTGGGATCTTTTTCTTTTTTTTAAATTTACAGTTATTATCAATAAAGAAACTCAACAGAATGGCGACGGTAGAGTGCCTGAACAGCTTTGGAATCGACCACACAGTTTCGCTTATTCTCCTCTGAAATCAAGCGCGGCACCCATCTTGCTGAGACTCTTTTTTACACTCAGCTTTTCATGTGAAATAGAGAACACTGTACCTTACGATACACCTGTGGACTCAACTATTTAACACACTTGATTCCCCTGTCATTTAAACATATCGTCGATATTGTCAATCATTTCAGGGGTAGTCACTTCCACTGATCGTCCTGAACGGGTTTCATCATGTGTCTATGTATGATTATGTTTAAATTCATTTACCCAGCTGTAAATAGTTGCAAATACTGGAGCATAAGTGCCATGAACTCGATCCAACTCAACTTTGATCTCCTTGGTTTAAACCTTTCAAATGCAATGTTCTACAACTGCTCGGAATTACTTTTTTCCATTTTTCAAAATGTAGAGAGGGTTGTTTACAAAATCAACAATACAAATCCATAAAGTTCAGGTGATGGATTTTACAGAAACTTTGTCAGCTGTTTATTAAATAGTGAAGTTGGCTGTAAACAAACCATTTGCAATACTATGAGCAGTGTTTATATCTTTTTCTAAGAACTTGTTGAACCACCCTCGTATTTGCCTGGTCTCTTCTATTTGTTGGTCTTAAACAAATTTTTAATCACAACAGGATTATGGTAGACAGGAGTGTTACTATGTCAAGATTAGCGGTACAAAGAGATTTTTCTAACTAATTGGTAACATTCTAACATTTAATATAAGTCTATGTTCCTTACCTTCATCAACAACAGAAAAAACTTCCAAGGTGCTTCATTGTTGTTTCATTACTTGTTTGACGTTGTTACAGTATTAATTTAAGTTGACAATATGGTACTACAGTATAACATAGTGAGTTTACAAATGACAAATGGAAATTTCCATGTCTTCTAGGAAGCTCCATTTAAACTGTGCTGAGTAGGTTGGACTTGTCAAAACTTCTTGTCATGTTTTGTTGTTTAATTTTTACAGTGGTGGACGAGAAGGCAGCGGGACGCCCACTGTGAGTGTTAGTGGGTCGAGCGGAACGTCGTCTCGTAGCAGCACTGCCCGTGGCTCTGACTCATCCACTCTCACGGCTGCTAGTCTCATAGATGCCATCATTACACATCAGATCAACCAGCCCAGCAGCGATGGACAAGTTGCCTCGGGGGCTGCAGGAACTAATGCCCCTGCCCCACCACGCCCCGGCGACCGGCTCTTTCAGGTTAGAAATACTACCTCAAAATTACAGCCAATAAAGTTATATGTTCTAGGAGTTCTCATCTCAAACTATGTTATTTTGTTTCAAATATTAAGAACAAATAATATATCTCTTTTCAAATCTCTGAGGGAATAAATTCCTTTTATTTACTGAAAATTACAGTAAAAGAAGATATCGGCCGGCAATTAACTTCTGCTTTACCAAGGTCTACCACCAGATTTGCTTTCCCTAGTTTCGCTACCTTCTATAGATAAGCTCACCAAATAATAATCACACTATTTATAGCGGGTAATTTTTTAATTTAAATTCAATATTCTTTTAACTTCAATTATTTATAATATAGGACATTCATTGCCAGATGACTGAAGTTTATGACCCTGATGCAATGATAGTGGGGAAAGTGCAGAAAATAGCTAGGGAGCTTAAAAATGGTCGTGAAAATGTTCATTTTAGAAGGAATTGTGGTAATAGGTGGTAACCTAGACTTCTCCAAAACACCACAAAGGAAAAAAGATTTCACGGTAATTTTTACACTCCATAACCCATTTACACACTTTACCCTTAATCATTGTATTAGGGCCATAGCCTTCAGTCATCTGGGAATGAATGTCGGCATCGGATATTTCTTGAAATATAAAAACGTATCACTGACCTTATCTCGCACAAAGGCGGGAGATTTGATTGTCGAAACATTTTTAAAAACACACAGCGAAGCGTACATGTCAGCTTCGGAGCTTCAAATAGTGTAATTCTCTTCGTAAATGATGGGATTAAGTGGCAAGGAGCCTTGTTGCGGCGCACAAGTGAGTTACAAACTCATAAATATAAGTGGTCCTTACTTAAAAAACTGCCCTCCTAATAATAAAAATAGTTTATGAAGATTTAAAAAGATATTGTGTTGCCTAAAGGCAATGATAATGTACAAGTTTAAAACTAAGTAATGCTTTGTAAATCTACAGGAACTAGTTATTCCCTACAACAGCTAATATCTATGAAAATAATTATTTCTCAACCTCTAATTTAGAGCAAGGGAAAATGATCATCCAATTCTTCCCTTGCTGTAAATTTACTTTCCCTTGCTCTCAGTCGGTTCTTTATTTGCCAACTACGTGCACTTGTGCACGTGTACTATCCCATTTATTTTTACAATTTAAATCAACACTTTTTACTATTGAACAATCTAAATGGAAACAGAAACAGGCATTTGCGTTGTGATGAAAAGCCGTTCATCACACTGGTGCTAAAATACTATGCACTTGCTTCAATTATTCCCGTCCTCACCCTCAAATTGTTGGCATCGCCTTGCATGTGAAATTTGGTTTACTTGTGTACATCTTTGCCCCACACATGAAACTTAAGTATGGAATGGAAAATTTAACTTTAGATTCTTGTAACTAAATATACCATTTTCTTCAGCTCAAATTATTTTTTAATATGTTTTGTACATTTTTTCAGGGATTTCACAGAGAAGGCCCAGAAGCAAACGGAAAATTGTCTCCTTTGAAGTCAGGTGGACTCTCAATGGCTGGGAGCCCAGACCCTAAACAAGGTTCAATAACTCTTGGAGAACATATAGAGTCAATTATAAACAAAGATTATCCACCAACATCTCGTCACGCTCAGTTCCAAGCGTATGAGCCTCAAGCTTGGAAGTTGCGAAGGGCTCTACAACAAAAGGAACTGGATCAGAACCAAAGTTTGCGTGAAAAGAACGATGAACGAAATATCGTAAGAATGGCTGGACCTCCTTCACCATCATCTCGAGTAAGATATTACGAACCTCCCGCCGTACCAATATCACCACTTGACTATGTCAAGAATCGCATCGTGGAAGTGATGCGGACATCAGAGGAAGAAGGTGGCTCTAAAAGTGGAGGGGGAGAAAGTCCAGGAGGTGGTGAAATGGTGATTGACGAAGGAGAGGATCAACAGACATCTCGAACGACCACGTCACAGGCCCCTGCACCCTTCATAGCAACGTCTGCAGCGTACACTTACCCCTTCTCAGCCCTCAGCCTGAACGCAGCAGCACCCTCAGTGCCAGTGTCCGTAGCTAACATGACTGCCAAACAACCGACTGACTCGGTCCCTGAACCTGCCCCCCTGCTCTCCGCACAGTACGAACCTTTGTCGGATGAGGATTAGTGGTCGATTTGCCTGCTGGACTTCTCAGCGTTTCTTGGAGGCTGGTTTTCATGGATGGAATATCTTCCGAATTCTTCAGAAAATAGTCCAACCGGATCCACATTAAAAGACTGAGTCTATTCCGTGCATATAATAACAGTTTTTTAATTTCGGTTTGTATAGAGGATTTCATTATGATTTTGTTAGCAATATTTTTCTACAAATAAATATGCACGGAACAAAAGCGATTTCATTTAATGAGCCTCCATGTTGTTGTACGGAAGAAATATTCTTGAATATAACACATTTTCGTCTATTATTTTGTCTTCTCATTCTTCAGTCGCACGTCGAAACAGTTTTTGAACTGTCCTGTTGGTGTCATTACTATATGATGAAAATTTGTTACATGTGTTTCACATAAATATTCGTAATTCGACTTTGCTCAAAAATAATGTAGGCCTATCGACTATGGATATATTTCGATTAATCTAAGATTTTTAGCCTAAGGAATAATATAAATGTATGTGAACGATTTGGAGTTATTTGTTCATCATGTTTCTTGTGATCGGCTAAGATAGTTATTGTTATTATTGTGTTGCAAGCATAGTTTGAATGAAACTTTAGGTATTGTTAGCCATAGACTTTTGTTCAGTTTTAAGTTTTTTGTCACCATAATGGTTATTTTCTTTTTTATGTCATCAGACGGTTATTATTTATTATCTTTTATACTATGACAGTTGTCATTCAAAATCTTATGTTTAAAATTTTCGAGGGATCAAAGTTTTGTTCATTCCACTTTTGTTAGGAACTTAAACGTCGTGACTGATTTAAATGTTGCATTTTAGTGTTTTGTCTGTGTTTTTGAACTAGAAAGCTGTTGATTTCCATCAGATGTTTTATTTATTTTATATAATGCCAAAACAAAAGTCGCAGTGTACATTATGCATATAATTTGTTATCAGTGACTCAGAGAACTTAGTGCTGCGGGAGAACTGTTTCCTTATAGGATCTCTGTATAAACGTCCGTCGTTTGTGTTTACCCGCTGGCATTGTGCTCGATTAGTTTACTATGAATTTCACTTTGATGTTTTGTGGACTGTGCATCGAGCGTTTTCACAATTATTTATCACGATGTAAATAACTGTAGATGAAAACCATTTAGCGTAACCGATGTAAATATGAATTTTAGTTTTTTAAGTATAAGAAACTGGTTATTCCTTCCTTCGTACGAATTTAATCCAATAGTACATTTTTAGCGGATTAAGATAATTGTATATATTTTCTGTGAAAATACTTATTTTCTTTTTGGTCATATAAACAGTTTTTAAAGTGTTCAATTTCTAAAAAGCTGTTTAATGGTTTTGGAAAATTAATAAATTTAATTTTGTCTATGTTTTTGCGCGTTGTTAATCTTGATCCACTGAACATGGCCAAAGAATGCTTGTTGCTTTTGGAACCTCGTGTTCTGACTGTGATGCCCGTAGTCTTGTACATAACACTTAGTCCGCAAAACTTTCAAATCCGATAAAATGTTTCTAACTGCTTGTGGACTCTGCCACCCCAAATATATTTTTATACAGAAAGCTATAATTCTATTTATTTCATCTTGTAACAGAACATGCAAATTTCACTTTTTTATCTTGATATATGTTAAGCTGTTTGAATAAAATAAAATAGGTTTTTATATTTATATTTTCATTTATTTTCCTTTTTAGCAAAATTGTAATTTTCTTGCAATTTCAGAAGTTATGTTTTTAAGTTAACGAATCAAATATTGTACAAGGGGAGTTAGGTTTAATTTTTGAGTCGATAATAAAAGCTATGATTTTTAAATATAATGTTTTGTTTTTATGCTTTTGTTCATGGAAATACTCGGTTGACTAAAAAATGGGGCATTCCGATCTAATGGAAATTCCATTGTTGGTTTACCTTATTAATTAATTAGTTACTTACCAGGCATAGTTGGAGTCTACGAGTTGAAAGGCCGTATACAGAAAAATGTACTGTTTGGAATAATAAACAAATGTTCAAAATAACAAACTAAAGGTGATAAATCATTGTGTTTTAGTTGTTAAATAAATATAAATTTCCACTCTTAATTTTTATTGATATTTTACTGCTGCTAACATGTAGTGGTACAATAGTACAGGAACAACATGCCCACCCAGGTATTTTTGGGAATTGTGTTTTCCGTTATTCTGCCTACCCCAATTCTATCACGCTAAGTAAAATTGTTAAAGCTGTTTCCACAATGACGATACTATTACACAGCTGCCAATATGCTGGGAATTCAAATAAATCTTCTATAACCCACTTTCAGACTGAGGAAGACTGGAGAAACAGAAAATATATTATTCCTAAGCAATTATTATCTGAGTAACTAATTAGCTGGCACACAAATGTTTATTTATCACAGGATATGTATTTTTTTTACTATAGTTTTTATTATTTTTGTTTTAATTATAAAAAGTAGATGGTTGTCACTGACTGTTGAGTCAATCTTCATAAGTACAGTTTCCTGAAAACAAACTTTTCAATTTAAAATCCACGGTCACCTTCTAAGTTGTAATATTTAGGGGTTGGCATCTTATAACCAATGGTAGGTCATTTATTTATGAATCACAAGTTAAATTGGTTAATCCCAATTCAATATGTGTTGACGAAAAACATTCAATATCAATGGATAATGATAATATTAAACACGGGCACATCCATACAAACTAGAGGGCAAGATACCAATAATATTATTATTTGTCTTTTTTAAATTCCTCACCTTAAAAATGTAAAAACTTGTATCAATTATGTCATGAGTTCACACATATACATACAATACATACAAACAATAACACAATACATAAAAAACACACATTACATATTTTTTTAGTGTTACATTGTAATACATACAATAATTTACTAAACTTGCTTACTAGAGTATAAAGGCTGCATCAAACTACTTGCCAAGTTTAAAACTAGCTTGGGGTACTGTTATTCATTCGTTTTGTCACAGTGGGTGAAGTATTTAAATTAAAACAAAGCTGCTGAATGTTTTATTACTTACGGCTAATGGATCAATCTTTTTACTACCAGTTGATCAAAACCTAAATCATTTTGGCAGCACTGATATGGATAATTCATTGGCCAAGGTTTTTAGATCCCTTTTCTTAAACATATGTCCATCTAACTTTCACAGAAGGGGGGCTGGGTACAGAATAATCCCCAGTAAAGAGGGGGATCCGGGGGTCCTCTCACTAATAATGTTTAAAATGTAGGTACAATTGTTGATTTTTTATCGTACCTAAATTTACGTTGTTAATTTATTGTTTTTTATGAATAGTTTTTAAAATGTGTACTTTTATGTTTATACTGCAAAATCTAAGAAAGATGTGGTTAACGTAGGGCTTCATAGGAGTGGGGGCTCATCATAGCTCATATTGATGGACACCTATGCATTGAACACCAATAATGTTTCTAAGGGAACGTTAAAACTTAGCTGGCAAGCCTATAGTAAAGCTTTTACATATTTCTAGAGAAATTTTGAAACAAAATACAGATCCTTCACATAGCCATAGTCCAATATTTTTATTGTGCTGAACAAAATCTTCTATTAGAAGAGGGAAATAAAGGAAGCTGGAGGATGGAGACAAGTAGCTCATTACTCAGCAGATTTCAGTCCTATATTTCAGACATTAAATCAACAATCAATGGACAACAATGTTTCTTACAAAATAAATTTCAGGTCAGTAAAGTAGATATACGCTTAGGTAAATCTTCAATTCTTGAGTCTTAAGCAGCCAAGTTTTGGGGTTGCCTGCCAGGGTAGTTGCCCCACATGGGTTACAATCAAACTTATATGAATGTGGACGGCATAGCCCCACAATTAATCTGGAGCCTGCTTATTCATAATTAAAGTAGTTTCCGTTATTTTTTGTGCTGTGAAACTCTTGGCTGTGTTATTCTCTCACAGTTTTTAATATGCACAGTTAATCATTTAAGCAGGTTACACACTGGAGACATGCGACAGTGTCTTTAATATGTTAGATGTATTTGGCGTTTAAGACGTTTATTCTACTAATCTTGAGTCAATTGAGTACACAATGTGTTCAAAAGACAAGAAACTGTTGTTATTGCTGCCAGTGCAGGGTTTTAAATATGGATGACCCATTCATTCTCAATGTGATCAATCCATTTTAGTACGACCCAACCCCTAAACCAACAATTACATGTTTTAAGGATAATTTTAGAGTTAAATAACCTTAGGATGAGTATACCAACCACTTACCAGAGCCACGCTCATGCTCCAGGCCTTGTCATTTATGACAGCTGTCAGCTCAAGAAACACACATCAACCGTCTGCGCCTGCTGTGACACATGTCCAGTATGCCTACCGGGGACCAGTACACAGATGATGGGTAAGACATGTGTCGCAAGCAGTGTGTAAACTCTGATTTAATAACACGGGTTGGTTCCACCTGTTGACATGCCCCTGACACGAAATATGTCAGTATTGTCAGTCATAGGTAGGCGGTGTCTACAACACCAGTTTTTAACCAGCCCTAACGTCCAAGGATCAAAATGTCTACAAACAAACAAATCACCTGTTCAGGCCAATTTAATTGTTGATTGGTAGTGGTGCAATTAATTGTGTAGGGGTACAATGTTTCGTTGCATCACTGTCAGTGGCTACGAGAGATTATAAACGAGAACATAACCTCTCTTATAAGTTATGAGTAGTTATTTTTTGTAATTAAACCACTGTAGGTAAAGTAGTGTACGCAACTCGCGTAAATAGTGTTAACGACACTCGTAGAAGTTTTTAAGGCACACTCGCCAACGCTTGTACCTTAAATTTTCTACTTGTGTCGTTAACACTATCTTTACGCAATCATTGCATAAACTACTATAACTATGGTAGTTTATGTAACGTTTACTTTTATTAATTTATTTTTATTGTACCTATACGATATATGTATATACAGGGTGTCCCGTAGCTAACTCTCTGGACACGTTTATAACGCGTTGTTGCTTAGGTCAAGATAAACACATTTCACCGTAGGAACATGGGTCTGTGGTGCCTACTGTCGGGGAAAAAAGTTTAGACACTCGAGTTTGGAGCTCTACAGAAAAGTAACCAAACTAACTTAGGAAAACACGTAGTATATATAAATTTTCGTTGTTTTATTCTACGTATTCCTGGTGAAAACTAAAAATTTAATTAAATTTAAAATAACATGCGTAACGATTTTTTTGAGCAGTATCAATATTTCAAATACAAGACCAATCACCTTCAAAACTTTTTGGGTAGATTAAAAATTCTGAAACTACACAAATTAATTCATTATATATGTGTCTATATTGTATTAAAGTTTGATAAAGTTCTGACGTTTAGTTTACATTGTGCGAATTTTCAAAGTCATAAGATGGTTTTTGATACCTACTCTAAAAACAGGGAGTTTTTACCTTCCGACTGTCATAAAAAATCTCCTAAACGAGCTAAAACAATTTTGTTTTCACAGGAATACGTAGAATAAAACAACGAAAATTTATATATACTACGTGTTTTTCTAAGTTAGTTTGGTTAATTTTCTGTAGAGCTCCAAACTCGAGTGTCTAAACTTTTTTCCCCAACAGTAGTTTTTCGTCCGTCTGTATTTATGTGTTTTTTTTTACAAAAAAATTAATAACTCCTAATCGGTTTGAGATACAGCATTGAGATTTTTCAAAAAGGTTTATCTCATAAAGACCTATTTTCGTTTAAATTTATACTAAAAAGCAACAACCGTTTCAAAATGGTTGTCATTTTAAACATTTGATGCCAAATTGCACCAAAACTGTTAGCTTTACAAATAAATTGCAAGAGACAAAAAAGTTAGTAAATTGCATTTAGTTTCCAATGATACCTTATTTGTTAAGAATGGATAAATAATAACAGAGAAATGTCTTATTTTCCAAATGAATGACTACTTGTCAATTTGAACAATGTTTTTTTAGTACTCATATTACATTGTCATCATGTATTAATTGATTATGATTTTTAAGATGTTTTATTTTTAAACATTTATGTTTTTTCCATGATAAACTAACGTCGAATGAAATTAAATAAAAAACAAGTTATTATAAGGAAGGGTTAGGACAAAAATTTAGGACAAAAAGGTACTCTCATCACTTTAACCTCTAACGATAGCGGTCCCCAAACGGTAGTAGGCCTACTGCTTTATTTTTTACTATACTATCTAACATTCGTTTGCGTTATGTGTTTAATTGTTTAAAATAAACTCCCATGTTGCTCCCTCCCTATTTCCTTAGTTTGAAAAAAACAATTTTTATTACTATTTAAATTAATTTTCAGGCAATGGATAACATAAAAGGTAGTAAAAAGAAGAAAACAACTGCATAAGAAATAAGGATTTATAACAGAGAGAGACAAAGAGAAAGAAGAAAAAAGTTCGCAGAAGAGCAGTTAGAAGCCAAAAGAGAGTGCGATAGGAAGACAAAGAGGAAAAGAAGAGAAAGGGGGAATGGAAAAATGTAAGAAATATGACACTCCGTGAACTGAAAAAAGTCGGGCGCGATACTAAAGAAAGAACCAGACGTTGCAGGCAAAGAAAAAAAAATATTGCTCAGGAAAATAGAGTTTTAGATCTCACCCCTCCTGGTAGCCCTAATGTTGCCATGCCAAATATTGTGCTTGGA